AGAAAGAATATTCCTGGGAACGTAGAAACAGCCAGCAGGATCTCAGTAGGAAAGTGGAATTTTGCAGACATACTGGGACTATTAAATGTGCCCCTTGCTCAAAGTCTCCTAGAAATCAGGGCTCCTGGAGCATCACCTCTGCATAGGCAGGATATACAGTATATCCCTTACTGATAGGGACTGTGAGATTGGGACCCAACCAACCAGCCAGGCCAGTTGCAAGGGCAATGGAAACAGGGAAAGCTGAGATGCTGGAGCCCCCAATAGTCCAGAGAGATTTGAGTGTTGGACTATGATTCTGGAAAGCAAGGTTCCAACCTCAGCTCATCCATGGGAACCCACTGTGTGAGAGTGGCAAGTCACACTCTCTCAGCCTCTGAGGATGGCAATGGTAAACCCCCTCTGAACAAATCTTGCTAAGAAAACCCCATGATAGGGTCGTGTTAGGGTCGCCGTAAGTTGGAAACAACACAAACAACACAGGGACACTCTCTCAGCCACAGAGAATGGCACTGGCAAACTCCCTCTGAACAAGTCTTGCCATGAAAACCCTGTTACAGGTTTGCCTTAGGGTTGCCCTAAGTTGGAAACAATGTAGACACAGTCTCTCAGCCTCTGAGGATAGGGAAGGCAAACCCCCTGTGAAGAAATTTGGCAAGAAAACCCTGTGACAGGCTGGCCTTAGGGTCTCCATGAGTCGGGAGCCACACAAACAACACAGACACACTCTCTCAGCCTCAGAGGATGGGAAAGACAAAGCCCCTGTGAAGAAACTTGGCAATAAAACCCTGTGACAGGCTGGCCTTAGGGTCTCCATGAGTCGGGAGCCACACAAACAACACAGACACACTCTCTCAGCCTCAGAAAAGACAAAGCCCCTGTGAAGAGTGGAACCCAACACTCAGCCCGCATCTCTGTGCCCCAGCGCCCCCTAGCGCCGAGTGGAGGAGACGGGCGTCGCTCTTTGCAAGCAGAGCGCCCCCTAGCGCAAGGAGAGAGAAAGAGAAAGAGAAAGAAAGAAGCCCCCCGACTGAGCGGGCCACTGAGGGAGGTCCCCCCTTCCTCCTCCTCCTCCTCGTCCTCCTTCCGGCTTGGAGGCTCCCCGGGCGGCCGCCCAGGAGCCCTCCTCTCCCCGGCTCACCTGGCTCCCGATGCTCCCGGCGTCCAGGATGGCAGCCCGCTCTGCCTCCTCCTCCTGCTGGCTCCCATTCAGGGGCGAGGGGCTGGCACTTGCGGCCGGGGGCAGCCAATGAGCAGGAAGGCCCTGGCGCCGCCCCAGAGGACCAAGGACCAAGGAGGACGCGCCCTCCCTTCCAGCGCCCCCTAGAGCCCTCTTCTGGTTCTAAGCGGGACTCCTGGCGCTTGTGGGCTTCGTTTGGCTGGACAGCGCCCACCTCCGCAGGGTCCATCCCTCAGAGGCCCTTCTTCTTCTTCTTCTTCTTCTTGGGATGGAGGCTGGGGCCCTTCGAGCCATTTCTGACTGACGGCGACCCCGAGCCAAGCCTATCACCGGGTTTTCTTGGCAAGATTTGTTTGCCTTCTTTGCCTTTGCCTTTGCCTTCCCCTGAGGCTGAGAGTGTGTGACTTGGACAAGGTCATCCAGTGGGCGTCCATGGCTGAGCCAGGGTTCGAACCCAGGGCTCCAGAGTCCTAGTCTCAAACCACTACCCCACACTGGCTATGCAGTGTTGTTGTTGTTGTTAACTGCCCTCGAGTGGATCTCGACCCATGGCAACCCTATGGATGAGGCATCTCCAAGACCCTCTGTCCTCCACTGCTCTGCTTAATTCCTGCAACCCCTGAATACCCTTGACCTCCTTTATAGAGTCCATCCATCTGGCATGTGGCCTTCCTCTATTCCTACTTCCCTCCAAGTTTCCCAGCATTATTGTTTTTTTTTCCAATGAGTCCTGCTTTTTTGTGATGTGTCCAAAGTACAACAGTCTCAGTTTGGTCATCTTGGCTTCCAGGAAGGTTTCCGGCTTGATCTGCTTTAGAACTCACTTGTTTGTCCTTTTAGCTGTCCATGGGATCCTCAGCACTCTTCTCCAGCACCACATTATCTCAAATGAATTGGTTTTCCTCCTATCATCTTTCTTAACTGTCCAGCTCTCACATCCATACATGGTTACAGGGAATACAATGGCTTGTATGATGCTAACTTTTGTGCTGAGTTGTATATCTTTGCATTTTAGAATCTTTTCTCATTCTTTCATAGCTGCCCTCCACATTCTTCATTTTCTTCTGATTTCTCAACAACTGTCCCCATTCTAGTCAATGTTTGATCCCGGGTGTGAGAACTCTTTTATTATCTCTGTTTCCTCATTGCCTAGGTTGAATTTGTGTAGATTCTCCTTGGTCATTATTTTTGGGTTTTTTTATGTTCAGCAGTAAGCCTGCCTTTGCACTTTCTTCTTTGATCTTCCTTAGTAGGTGTTCCAGGTCTGTGACGTTTTCTGCTGGTATTATGGCATCTTCTGCATATCTGAGATTGTTGAAATTTCTTCCTCCTATTTTAATTCCTCCTCCTTCTATGTTCAAGCCTGCTTTTCTTATAATATTTTCTGCATACAAGTTGAACAGATCAGGTGAAAGGATGCA